AAGGAAATATCCATATCCTCTGTGAAAGGTCATTAGAAATCCCAAGAGCATGAACATCATGAAGTGTTACTGACAAAATACTTCTATAAAGCTACTTAGAAGTTTACCAAATGAATGGGAGTAAGGTGGGGTACAATGTTAATAAGGGGGTAAAGGTAGAGAAGTATGGATATTTTCCCCAACAGCAAGTTGCTGTATAACCCTCTGGAAAACCATTTGCCACCCTTGTTGTTCACTTCATTAGCTTTCGTTTTTCATAAATTAAGGGCAGACAGGCAAAGGAAACATTTCTGAAGAAAATGTGGAAGTTGACTTAGAGGTATAATAGTTTTTACTAGTTTCAAAGTAGATTGTCATACAATGTTCGTACACCGGAAGTCATCATTGAAGCCGAGAGTGGACAAGACAGGGCAACAGGGCAATGATAACCAGTCCAACACTGAGCAGAGTAACTCTGATCACTATTGTGGCCTGACTACGATGGAGGGCTCTGTCACTGCATTGCCTGTTGTTGCTGTAAAGATTAAAGTTAGAGGAAGTCCTCTCTGTATCAAGACCTATTCACTGTTGGATAATGGATGTAACTCTACCATTTGTTTGGCTAACTTTTTGGAGCATCGGGATAAATGGAAAGAAAACAAGACTCAAGCTGACCACCATGCACAGCAGCAAAAGTGTAGATAGTCTTATTGTTAATGGACCTGGTGGTGGCAGATCTAGACAAGGATGTTGTCATTACCTTGCCAGAAGTACTTTCCAGACCAAATATGCCCATAGCGAAGGACAAAATCCCTCAATAAGAGGATGCGGAATGATGGCCACACCTTCAAGGTTATGTGTACTAGCCAGAATTGAGTTCTGAAGTAGATTTGTTAATTGGAGCAACTGTTCCTGAAGCCCTGCAGCCCAGAGAAGTTATCCCTGCCTTTGATGGGGGTCCATATGTGACTAGAGTTGACCTTGGCTAGGTCATCAATGGCGCAACTGGAAGGAAACAAGTTTGTCACGTCCACCAGTTTCTTCATTAAGTGTAAGGAAACTCATAATATGTGTGTAGCATGTGCTGACTTTGCAGATGTGCCCCTTTCGATGGTTTAAGCATGTCAAGGGATGACTTAAAGTTTATGAGCATCATGGAGGATTCAGTCATTAAGTGTGAAGATGGTGAGGTTTCACTGCCTTTGAGAAACCTCAACTTACAGATGCCAGCGAATAGGAGTAAGGCTATATGTAGGACTCTCTATCTTAAACGTAAATTCTTCAAAGATGCAAAGTTTCGTGAGGACTGTAAGGAGGATGGTAAGGTGTGGTTTATTCTGCACCATGGCGTTTACCATCATAACAAGCCGGATAAAATATGTTTTTGACTGCTCTGCCCAGTTTCAAGGAACATCACTGAATGATGTACTGTTCCAAGGACCTGATTTGACCAACAATCTAGTGGGTGTACTGATTCGTTTTCGCCAAGAGCCGGTCGCGGTAATGGGTGATGTCCAATCAATATTCCATCAGGTATGTGCTCCAGAAGCAGATCAAGACCTCTTGTGGTTCCTTTCGTGGCCCCACTATGACTTCTCCAAGAAATTAGAAGAGTACTAAATGACCATATATCTTTTCGTGCAGTACCATTACCCAGCTGTGCTAATTATGCGATGCAGTGGCCTGAAGTCCATACCCTCAACTGGTGTCACAGTAAAACATGTGAAAGAATTACATCTTTGCATGCTGAAAGGGGGCTTCAATTTTTGGGAAGTCCTGGAATTGATTCCAGTGGAAGCTACAGCAAAGGACTTCAAAGAAATTGATCTTGATAATGATGTGCTTCCTACAGAGAGAGCTCTAGGCATATGGTTTGTCGAGATGAATATGTTCGGTTTCAAAGTGAACATAAAGGAGAAACCTTGTGCCGGGCGTGGAATTCTGTCTGTGGTTAGTTTATCTGCTCGGTATGGCAGTGCCTTCTTGTCCTAACCGCAAAGTTACTCCTCAAAGATTTTTGCAGAAATGGCCTTGGTTGGGATGACAAGAATTCCAGCAACTACTTATCTTGGTGGAGGGTGTGGCTTAACAAATTGCCAAAACTTACCCTTGTCTCAGTTGAACAATGCATTAAGTCGGAAGAATTGTTTCAAGTGAGATCGACCACTTCTGGAATGCCTCCCAGCCTGCTTATCAAGCTGTTTCTTATCTTTGCTTGGTTGACTCTGGTGGCCAAATTCACTGTTCCTTCCTGTTAGGCAAGTCCTGTCTCGCTCCTTTAAAACAAGTTACAAACAAAATGTTGAACAAGGAGTTGGAGATGCTAGTTGATACCATCAACTTCTGGACTGATAGCGGTCCAACTTTTGTACCTGGACGTGGCAAAGCTTAAGTCAGCAAGTTCGTGTCATTGAAAATGATTAAAGGATCCAAATTCTCTACGTTCTTCGCCATGAAAGACGGATTAACACATTAACAACAGTGAATTTTATAGAGAAGTCAAGCGTCAACGTGACCGCGATTGTTCATGAGAACGATATGTTGATTGCTCGATACTGGTCAGCACCATTGCACTGCGATATTTCGCATACTGCAAGCGGAATTATCCCTCGGGTGAGGAATTTTTGTTCTGGTCTTGAAAATGCCGCGAATTTTTGTCCTTTGTTTTAAAGAAACAACACTCAAGACATTGCGAAAAGATGCACAAATTTTCGGGCAAACTTTCTTTGAAAGTTTGAGGAGACAATGAACAAAATTCATGCATTTCGCTCATTACTTTTGCACAATACTGTATTCAAGTTTCATTTCTATCATCCAACGATTCTCATCCTGGTTCAAACTGCTGAAGTTTATGGCCTTGTGCCTTCACTGCCAGATGAGATTTGTGATGAGGAGAAGAGAATTGAAGCAAAACGTCACGATTAGTGCCAAGGCCTCTAGTGTGGAACTGCTGGCACCCTCAGAGTTGGAGAAAGCCAAAGGGGAGATAATCATGTTCGACCCATTGGGAAAACATGTTAATTTAAATAACATGTTCCATTTCAATTTGAGGTAATTTTGATGTGGCTTGGCAATAGAAACCGAATAGTAAGTGTTCTTCAAAAAAATGGACACCATGTAGCAATTTGGGGTCGTAAGCCTAATTGCTGTCCAGACTAAGTCCATTTTGAAATGTTGATGGTCAATGTGCTGATTTAAGCTTTTCAAATTTAACATCATTTGATATAGGCCATCTTTTTTGTGTCACTAAACTTGGTGAAATACACTCCCCACTTTCATGTTGGGTGGGTTCAATGAAACCTTTGAATTTCAGCGTCTATAATCAGTGAGTCACTGGTGTTGAATGTTTTCCTTTTGGGGCCCAAGTTCTGCATAGGCTGTGTTGAAAATTCAATATACTGACCCTCAGCACAATTCAGGACTTTTGAGTCAGCGGTTTTTTCCTTCTATTTATCAAAGAAATGTACCAGATGGCCACCCTTGAAACTTTGGAGCTTATTAGCAAAAAAGTGTTTGATATTTGGGCTCAAACAACATAAGATTTATTTGCCTCTAAATTATCAAGTGTGTCAGAAGAAATAATTGCTACTTCTTCCTCTGGTCCTGCTATCAAAAGAAGGATTTTTAGGGTGGCTTCGAGTTCCACTGACAGCCTTTTGCTAAAAAAGGCTTGCTTCACCAATAAAAGTTTTGTTAGTTTCAGCAAGGGTGTCCCTTTTTGTTTTTGTGGCAATTCCCAAATGCGGTGGTGCTTACCCTTTTGGATGCCTGTATATTGTTAAGCTGGGTTTGCAGGTCCTTGCCAAACAGCAGAGCTGTTACTGGCACATGTGAGGTACGCAGACCTGCATAATCTCTGTTCAGATGTGGTTTGAGTGACTCCCTGCGATGGTGGGACAGGTCGATTTGTGCATGCCCTAGCAGAGTGACCACATCTGTGTTCATTTTTATAACTTTTTGACTGTCAGGGATTGACAGTGACTGCATTGAATTCTTTGTTTTTAGCAACATATTGAGGGATTTGCACATCAGAGCATCAGCGGTGTTAAGCGTCTTTTGGGTTAAGGTGAACCTGAGGTCCTGTTGTTTTTTACTGAGTGCTTCAGTTTATCCCAGATTTCAGGATTAACCTGCAGTGTTTTGAGAGTTTCACAGTTTGCCAGGTGTAAATATTTTGCCGAGTTATCCTTTTGTTTCAAGTCTGACAATTTAAATCAATTGCGCTAAAATAACATAAAAATGAGCTAATTCAAATAGGTGAAAAAATGTGGAAAGTGTTATATTCTATTTTGTATTTCAAATGTGTATTTTGTAATGTATTTTTGTGACTCATTGCTTTCTTGGCTCAATGGCACTAAGCCTCCACCACCAGCAATAGTTGAATGTTCTGTATGTAATTCTTTTTCATGGCCTCCAGACTGGAAGTTATGGCTAGAACCATGTGAAGTTGGGCCCTGAGGCCCAGAAGGACCTTCTTCCTGGCTGTTCAGATTGGACATATGTGACCCTCCATGGGAAGGCAGGGCTAAAGTGATACCTCACAACATGCCTCCACTTGGAAATAAAAGAATTTGACTTGAGGACGCTTGAAGGTGTTCAGGAGCACACTTCAGTAGTAAACTCTTCTGTTTGGTTGGACACACTAAGAACAATAGAGCGTGCACACACTAACAATGCAGTCAAACAAAGAAGTGTGTTAAACTTCAAAAACAAAAGATAGCATGCCACAACATGCTTTAGTGTGCAAAACAGCACAACATACTTAAAGCGCAATACTTTTAACTACTGTGTTGAAAGAGTTTTGGGTGAAGAGAACATTGACGAACATTGCAGTTGCTCATTGATCAACACAATTACTTACCCTTCAGTTTACAATAATATTATTACCACTGGTTTGAGTTTAAGGATGTGCAGAATAATAAAATGCCATGCACTTAGAAAACGATTATCTGGAGCAAAAAAGAAATTAAAATTGTAAACGAGACAGTTTTTTCTGTACTTGGTTTGATATAGGAGTTTACACCTTAAAAGACCTTGACCTGAATCTAGCTTTTCTCACTTATGAAGAATTTAAACTCTGCTACCATAGCAGAACTTGAAAGTTTTAACAACCAAAGCTGTAACGGGGCGGACGCTGACATCAATTGATCTTTGAATTTATTACCAGCGCCGCATCGGAGAAATGTTTTATAAATAACGGAACCTTCAAGCATCTATCGTTCTCAATTGGTTTATTGGACTTGAAAGTTCGTAAAAACTGAAATACAACGAGCAGAATAAAGCTATTACTATAAATCTATGCTAATCTAAATGTTCTTAACTCGAGCACGAGGGGCGTGCATATACATAAATCTAAACACAAATATCCTTCAGCATAACAAATCTGCCTTCGATTAAGTGGTATACATTTCGGGGTCTAAATTAAAGGACAAACTACATAACATACCTCTTTCCCCGTCCTATTACAATGGTATCTTTGACGATCCTTCGATCAATGTTCTTCTACATGTGCTTGTAACTTACACGTGTCCGAATGAAAGGTAATGCCGACAACTAATCGATATGTCGCACAAAACAAAGAGATATTGACGGTCACGCAATCACAACAATAAACAGTATTCGTTATATGGCTCCCCTAAATTACGCTAGAAATTTACCAAACTAATCAAAGAAACTAAAACTAAATCAACTATTAAAGTTCAACTGTTCAAATCAATGTCTCTTGATATAGGCTATAAGCCCATACAGTTCTTTAAAATGGCTCCTCAGGTGGGGATTCCCTGGTCTTCCCTCTCTTCGTGGGGCAACAGCAAAATAAGTTTCTGAACTGGTCTGCATAGGCTGGTCAGTGGTCCAGCAGGTCGACCGTTTTCATCCAGGTTCCGGTCGGCAATCTTGATGCAAACCTTCCTTACCAGACCATCATCATCAGGATATGTTTCCTCTACACGGGCGATTCTCCAGCAATTTCGTGGTGAGTTGTCATTGATAACAACAACGATGTCATCCACCTGCAGGTTTCTCCGCGTGGCTATCCACTTCTGCCTTGGCTGTAGGGACTAGATAGTCCTTCCTCCACCTCGTCCAAAACTCGTTGGCTAGATACTGGACTCTACGCCATCTTTTCTTTGAGTACAAATCGGCACGTTGGAATTCACCAGGTGGGGACAGTATCACCTTAGACTTCATCGTAAGAAGGTGGTTGGGCGTAAGGGACTCTAGCATTTGTGTGGAGTTGATCGTGTCGACGGTCAGTGGACGACAATTCACGATAGCTTCGGCCTCCACCATGAAGGTTCTGAGGGTTTCATCATCAAGTTGGGCAGCGTGCTGGGTGAGGAGTGTTGCTAACACATTTCGAACAGTACGGATTTGACGCTCCCAAGCGCCACCCATGTGACTTGCCTCCGGGACATTCATCTTGAAATCTATCCAGTCACAGTTGCGCTTCGCTAGTTCTTGCTGTATCTTCTCGTGATGCAATGTGGATAACGCTTGTTGCAGCTCGTTCTTTGCACCAACAAAGTTCGTGCCCTGGTCTGATCGCAACTGTCGTACTGGGCCACGGCGTCCCACAAATCGGCGATAGGCATTGAGAAACGAGTCAGTAGACAAACTGCTCGCGACTTCGAGATGAACAGCCCTGGACGCTAGACATGTAAACAGCACTCCGTAACGCTTTACTTCGCGACGGCCTTCTCTGACGTGCCAGGGGCCAAAGTAGTCCACAGCACAGAAAGTGAAAGGTGGTGCGGGCTCTAGGCGATCTTCAGGTAGGTTTGCCATCTTCTGTTCTTGAGGACGACCTCTCAGCTTCCGGCAAGACACACATTTGGAAATATGGTTGGACACTACGGAACTTCCACCAACAATCCAATAGCCACTTGATCTGATTTCATTCTGAGTAATGCCACGACCTTGATGTTTAATTAGCTGGTGAAAGTGGCAGAGGATAAGATTCGTCACATGTCCTTTCTTGGGCAGAATGACAGGGTGTTTCACATCATAAGCGATGCTTGACTGTCTCAATCACCCACCAACTCGTAGTATGCCTTCTTCGTCTAGAAAGGGGTCAAGTTTGTAGAGCGAACTCGACCTCTTCATCGTCTTCATCTTTTCTTTGCTGGCATCTTGGTCGGCGGCTGGTGATTTGATATTAGCATCCCTCAGCAATTGAATTTCATCTTGGAACGCTTTGTTCTGCACTATCTTGATGGTTTGCAGCTCAGCATGTTGTAGTTCCTTGACATCAACCGGCTTGTATNAAAACAAGACTCAAGCTGACCACCATGCACAGCAGCAAAAGTGTAGATAGTCTTATTGTTAATGGACCTGGTGGTGGCAGATCTAGACAAGGATGTTGTCATTACCTTGCCAGAAGTACTTTCCAGACCAAATATGCCCATAGCGAAGGACAAAATCCCTCAATAAGAGGATGCGGAATGATGGCCACACCTTCAAGGTTATGTGTACTAGCCAGAATTGAGTTCTGAAGTAGATTTGTTAATTGGAGCAACTGTTCCTGAAGCCCTGCAGCCCAGAGAAGTTATCCCTGCCTTTGATGGGGGTCCATATGTGACTAGAGTTGACCTTGGCTAGGTCATCAATGGCGCAACTGGAAGGAAACAAGTTTGTCACGTCCACCAGTTTCTTCATTAAGTGTAAGGAAACTCATAATATGTGTGTAGCATGTGCTGACTTTGCAGATGTGCCCCTTTCGATGGTTTAAGCATGTCAAGGGATGACTTAAAGTTTATGAGCATCATGGAGGATTCAGTCATTAAGTGTGAAGATGGTGAGGTTTCACTGCCTTTGAGAAACCTCAACTTACAGATGCCAGCGAATAGGAGTAAGGCTATATGTAGGACTCTCTATCTTAAACGTAAATTCTTCAAAGATGCAAAGTTTCGTGAGGACTGTAAGGAGGATGGTAAGGTGTGGTTTATTCTGCACCATGGCGTTTACCATCATAACAAGCCGGATAAAATATGTTTTTGACTGCTCTGCCCAGTTTCAAGGAACATCACTGAATGATGTACTGTTCCAAGGACCTGATTTGACCAACAATCTAGTGGGTGTACTGATTCGTTTTCGCCAAGAGCCGGTCGCGGTAATGGGTGATGTCCAATCAATATTCCATCAGGTATGTGCTCCAGAAGCAGATCAAGACCTCTTGTGGTTCCTTTCGTGGCCCCACTATGACTTCTCCAAGAAATTAGAAGAGTACTAAATGACCATATATCTTTTCGTGCAGTACCATTACCCAGCTGTGCTAATTATGCGATGCAGTGGCCTGAAGTCCATACCCTCAACTGGTGTCACAGTAAAACATGTGAAAGAATTACATCTTTGCATGCTGAAAGGGGGCTTCAATTTTTGGGAAGTCCTGGAATTGATTCCAGTGGAAGCTACAGCAAAGGACTTCAAAGAAATTGATCTTGATAATGATGTGCTTCCTACAGAGAGAGCTCTAGGCATATGGTTTGTCGAGATGAATATGTTCGGTTTCAAAGTGAACATAAAGGAGAAACCTTGTGCCGGGCGTGGAATTCTGTCTGTGGTTAGTTTATCTGCTCGGTATGGCAGTGCCTTCTTGTCCTAACCGCAAAGTTACTCCTCAAAGATTTTTGCAGAAATGGCCTTGGTTGGGATGACAAGAATTCCAGCAACTACTTATCTTGGTGGAGGGTGTGGCTTAACAAATTGCCAAAACTTACCCTTGTCTCAGTTGAACAATGCATTAAGTCGGAAGAATTGTTTCAAGTGAGATCGACCACTTCTGGAATGCCTCCCAGCCTGCTTATCAAGCTGTTTCTTATCTTTGCTTGGTTGACTCTGGTGGCCAAATTCACTGTTCCTTCCTGTTAGGCAAGTCCTGTCTCGCTCCTTTAAAACAAGTTACAAACAAAATGTTGAACAAGGAGTTGGAGATGCTAGTTGATACCATCAACTTCTGGACTGATAGCGGTCCAACTTTTGTACCTGGACGTGGCAAAGCTTAAGTCAGCAAGTTCGTGTCATTGAAAATGATTAAAGGATCCAAATTCTCTACGTTCTTCGCCATGAAAGACGGATTAACACATTAACAACAGTGAATTTTATAGAGAAGTCAAGCGTCAACGTGACCGCGATTGTTCATGAGAACGATATGTTGATTGCTCGATACTGGTCAGCACCATTGCACTGCGATATTTCGCATACTGCAAGCGGAATTATCCCTCGGGTGAGGAATTTTTGTTCTGGTCTTGAAAATGCCGCGAATTTTTGTCCTTTGTTTTAAAGAAACAACACTCAAGACATTGCGAAAAGATGCACAAATTTTCGGGCAAACTTTCTTTGAAAGTTTGAGGAGACAATGAACAAAATTCATGCATTTCGCTCATTACTTTTGCACAATACTGTATTCAAGTTTCATTTCTATCATCCAACGATTCTCATCCTGGTTCAAACTGCTGAAGTTTATGGCCTTGTGCCTTCACTGCCAGATGAGATTTGTGATGAGGAGAAGAGAATTGAAGCAAAACGTCACGATTAGTGCCAAGGCCTCTAGTGTGGAACTGCTGGCACCCTCAGAGTTGGAGAAAGCCAAAGGGGAGATAATCATGTTCGACCCATTGGGAAAACATGTTAATTTAAATAACATGTTCCATTTCAATTTGAGGTAATTTTGATGTGGCTTGGCAATAGAAACCGAATAGTAAGTGTTCTTCAAAAAAATGGACACCATGTAGCAATTTGGGGTCGTAAGCCTAATTGCTGTCCAGACTAAGTCCATTTTGAAATGTTGATGGTCAATGTGCTGATTTAAGCTTTTCAAATTTAACATCATTTGATATAGGCCATCTTTTTTGTGTCACTAAACTTGGTGAAATACACTCCCCACTTTCATGTTGGGTGGGTTCAATGAAACCTTTGAATTTCAGCGTCTATAATCAGTGAGTCACTGGTGTTGAATGTTTTCCTTTTGGGGCCCAAGTTCTGCATAGGCTGTGTTGAAAATTCAATATACTGACCCTCAGCACAATTCAGGACTTTTGAGTCAGCGGTTTTTTCCTTCTATTTATCAAAGAAATGTACCAGATGGCCACCCTTGAAACTTTGGAGCTTATTAGCAAAAAAGTGTTTGATATTTGGGCTCAAACAACATAAGATTTATTTGCCTCTAAATTATCAAGTGTGTCAGAAGAAATAATTGCTACTTCTTCCTCTGGTCCTGCTATCAAAAGAAGGATTTTTAGGGTGGCTTCGAGTTCCACTGACAGCCTTTTGCTAAAAAAGGCTTGCTTCACCAATAAAAGTTTTGTTAGTTTCAGCAAGGGTGTCCCTTTTTGTTTTTGTGGCAATTCCCAAATGCGGTGGTGCTTACCCTTTTGGATGCCTGTATATTGTTAAGCTGGGTTTGCAGGTCCTTGCCAAACAGCAGAGCTGTTACTGGCACATGTGAGGTACGCAGACCTGCATAATCTCTGTTCAGATGTGGTTTGAGTGACTCCCTGCGATGGTGGGACAGGTCGATTTGTGCATGCCCTAGCAGAGTGACCACATCTGTGTTCATTTTTATAACTTTTTGACTGTCAGGGATTGACAGTGACTGCATTGAATTCTTTGTTTTTAGCAACATATTGAGGGATTTGCACATCAGAGCATCAGCGGTGTTAAGCGTCTTTTGGGTTAAGGTGAACCTGAGGTCCTGTTGTTTTTTACTGAGTGCTTCAGTTTATCCCAGATTTCAGGATTAACCTGCAGTGTTTTGAGAGTTTCACAGTTTGCCAGGTGTAAATATTTTGCCGAGTTATCCTTTTGTTTCAAGTCTGACAATTTAAATCAATTGCGCTAAAATAACATAAAAATGAGCTAATTCAAATAGGTGAAAAAATGTGGAAAGTGTTATATTCTATTTTGTATTTCAAATGTGTATTTTGTAATGTATTTTTGTGACTCATTGCTTTCTTGGCTCAATGGCACTAAGCCTCCACCACCAGCAATAGTTGAATGTTTTGTATGTAATTCTTTTTCATTGCCTCCAGACTGGAAGTTATGGCTAGAACCATGTGAAGTTGGGCCCTGAGGCCCAGAAGGACCTTCTTCCTGGCTGTTCAGATTGGACATATGTGACCCTCCATGGGAAGGCAGGGCTAAAGTGATACCTCACAACATGCCTCCACTTGGAAATAAAAGAATTTGACTTGAGGACGCTTGAAGGTGTTCAGGAGCACACTTCAGTAGTAAACTCTTCTGTTTGGTTGGACACACTAAGAACAATAGAGCGTGCACACACTAACAATGCAGTCAAACAAAGAAGTGTGTTAAACTTCAAAAACAAAAGATAGCATGCCACAACATGCTTTAGTGTGCAAAACAGCACAACATACTTAAA